TTAATAAAGTACTTACCTGTTTTATGATACATACCATTTATAAAACATTGTACTGTAACTGTCTACTATTATTTCATACTTAGTTATGAAGTAAATATGTACTGACAGAAAGGTTTTACATTGTAGACAGCTCACGGCGATGGGGCGCTTAAATTAGCGCCAAACGTCGTGAACCTCAAACATATGTGCCAGTACTTGATAAGTACTATAATAAACATGATACTATGAATTACTGTAAGTTTTGAGTGTTAACTGACAAATATTGTTGCTTGTACTATAAATTTTGAGCACTAATTAACAAATGTATGGGTTTACATTGCTTGTACAAGTCATAAAAATACCCGCAAGTACCTGCAAGTCAGCTGAAATTCTCCAAAGTCTGACCTGTGACCTGCGCCGGACCCGTGGGAAACGGATCCTGGGATCTGCGGGTCACATACTCGCAGGTTTTCCCACGGATCTTACCTGCGAGTACCTGTAGAGACCTGGACTCGTGGACATCACTATTTACTTGTGTTCTTTGTACTGATATTCACTTACAGTTTAGATTACTTACTACGTTCACAGGTATATATATTTCACAATCCAGAGTCGTTGCCATACACTCATGTACTACTGAGGTTTAGATTACTTACTACGTTCACAATGTCTGCAAAGGTAGTTCAGGGGACTTTGTCTTTGGGTTTTGATAGTCACTGGCCCACCCTGCTACTCTCAAATGCATTGGGATTGATCACCAGTCTTGTCATCAATATCTTGGGTACAGCTCTTATTGGTGTCAAAGCTTGGTAAGTATGAAAAACTGTCAAATCCAAGGTAAATCTGGTGCTGCTCAAAGCTGATCATATTTTGTCAGGATGCATTGAAGAGACCTGAGAGTGCTGGGTTTCAGGCACAATAGGTTAACAAAATCACAGCAGGTGTTCATGCTTTGGATGGAATGTGGAATTACATTTTGTGTTTGACAAGTATGGAACATCAGCAAAACCTGTATTTAGCAATTAAATTGTCCCAGCAAATGTATTGAATCTCCAGCAAATATATTGAATTGCCAGCAAGTTGTATTGAATTGCCAGCGAACTGTATTGAATGTTCAGCGCTGGACATACGCAGGTGTCCTGGGGCTCTGGAAGCGCTGGGAGCACTTGCAGGCTCCTTCCAGCGCTGCCTGCACAACCCACATTTTGCTGATGAAGTTCCCATAAAATATCAATCAAAAATCAATCTTGGGATTCAGGTGGTCTACATAGCTATTCAACTTGCTAAAACAGGCTTGCTGGCTTTGCCACTGGGCGGTGATGTTGGACCTATTGGTCAATCTAATTCTTTATGGAACTGGCTGGCCGCTGCGATTCCATTACTTGTGGTGTTTATTTGTTCAATTACTGGTGGTTACACTATTCTAATGATAGTCTAGGGAGTGTATTTAATTATGGTATCCCTTTTAATCAGGCTGAAATTGTCTGTCACAATTCAAGTTGTTGAGGAGAGTCTTGTTTTATCTTATATTTCTCCATAGATTTCTCCATATGTATAACCTATTTAAGGTTGCTTAGAATTCAATTTTCCCCTGTGCATTTGCTAGGGTTCACTGCTATTAGACCAGAGTAAACTTAAAGTTTATTCAACAACCTTTTTTACTTTACTCCAACAGAGTGCACATGGGTGTGTACTCGTGCCCATGTCTAGTTAGGATCTGGATTCTGGACCCGTGTCCATCATTACCATAAACCAGAATCAGAATGAGAGTTTCACGCCGGATTTTTCCACTGATCTTCAATATCCTCAACATCCCCATCATCATTCAACTTGTTTGTTTGAGACTGGTAGTGCAAAGACTCCGTTATTAGTGGCTGGGTGTTGTGGATCAGAATTGCAACAGTTATTGGATAAAATGCCTGAATATTGTGCTACTGTAAAATCATAATGGTTCAAATTGGCTTGGAAATGGTCAACTCACAGTGACTACAATTAGGAGGTAGGTTACTATGTCCACCAGATCCAGACCAATGGCTGGTTGCCCTCCCTCTGGTCCCAGGATGAATTCAGTAGGACTTTTAAGATCCACTGTGATGCCAGTTTGGGTATTGAATCCATATGTTATGGCTCCCCTGGCAGTGGTGGTAAAAAGGACTGCAATGTACGTGACTTGAGCTGCACAGAATAGGCCACCAGACTCAAGTAGAAGCAACAAAATCCTCAGAATATAGGTTCTTTTGTATATTTCAGCCTGCATGAGAAGTTTGTGATGACTCCTTACTCAGATTATGGGTGGTTGTAATTTTACAACAAAATGTGGCAGCACATACCATACTTTCCACCCAACTAAAGATGTTGTGACAACATTCACCGACAAAGACATGACAATTGAGATCCAATCAAAGACAGAAAAATAACTGGCAATGCCACTTGTGGCAAAGGTGCTCTGTGTATCAGTATCAGCAATGCAATCAGCAATATTGACACCTATGTAATTAGTCAGAAATTTAAAAACACGATGAGCCGAGACAGATGGAAATGGAGAGAACTGTAGTGAACCTACCTATGTTAATAGTCATCACTGTCACAAGTGTAGCTCTCCAGAAACAACTGCGTGGAAATAGAATCCATGCTCTCCAAACCACAATGAGATCGCTTAAAAGAAGCTACATCACCATCCATTGTCACCATCCTTGAACAATGAGCATAAGAGCACAGCAAGTCAATCAACTTACATTGACTGTTCCAGGAATGCTTTGGATGAGGTATATGGACTGGTATGTGGAGCTAGTGAAACCCACTTCCACGTCATAGAGATTGGCATCCACTCGTTCCGGTACTCTGAGGCCTTGAAAAGCAGTTACTATAATGTCTGTCATGTTCCAGGCATAAGACAGGAAAGATAAAATCAGGCAGAGCAGGAGTGTAATCTTGGGTTTTGAAGAGGAAGCACTGCTGAGAAAAATCAATAAATGCCCCACTGAGGCAGGTACCCAACACTGTTGCAGGCTTCAGAATTTTCAATACATACATCAAAGGTTTGATTGCAATGCATGTTCCCAGGACAAATACACCTGAAATAATGACATAAATCAAGATTTGACAATGGTTAAAAGGCAGCAATGATACCAGACATAACCATTAATATTGCTAACTTTGGCACTAGTGCAATTAAAGGAGTGCCATATGTCTCAGCCAAGTCAGATGCAAAAGAGTACATGATTATTATCTTGTTAGTTGAAGAAAGCTGAGTCTTTATACACCTGACTCACCACGCATTGGTTTTAAGGTGCTATCTCCGAGTCGTTGACATTGTTCGCCGATGCGATCATCATGATGGGGGATATTTGGCATTCATAGACTCTGTCGACTACAGCGGATTGTTTACATGATACTAGTACCCCATTATAGCCCATTATGCAGTGTCAATGCCAAGTGGTGTTTTTCGATCCAGTAAAGTACATGGCATTTGTACTATCCGGGACGTTGCCTTTGCATAACCGTTATGTTTTGGTGGTTTGCTCACATTTGATTGACCGTAAACGGTCCATAGCTTTGTGATCTATTGGGGATCTCAATATTTGTGACAGCGCCTTCAAGTACACAGCGAGCCTTGGCCGTTTCATCTGATTTCATCACCTTGCCAGCATGACTGCAGCATGATCTGGCATTGGGTCACTGATTCAGAGCCAATGCGGAGCGTGTTCGACTTGTTCATAGTAGTATCCGACACTTATCTACAAACTGAAGCCTAGATGCCACCAAGGATGGGTTGAAAGGATAGCTAGGGTTTGTCAGCTACCTACTTACCTTCAACAAAGAGTCACTGGTCTAAGATGAGAAATTGGACTTTGAGGAGCTGCAATGTCGTGTAAAACACTGTCCCAGGAAGAGCCCCGATCTTATAGATCGAGTCGGCCCCACGTCAAAAATGGGGCCGATTGTGTCTGACCGAGATATTTCTTAATTAGATTAAAAAGCTCGCCGCAGGTCCAGGGCGGAGCCCTGGTTGTCGCGGCCAACGCGGCCAAACATTCAATTAAGAAGTACCTACATTTGGTTAATTACAGCCACAATGTGCCAGAAAAAAGGTCCGCCGCAGGCGTAAAGCACCACGCAGTGGGCCCAGCGGCGAGCGTCGGGTCCAGGGCAGAGGCCTGGTTGTCGCGGCCAACGCGGCCAACACCATCACCTGACGATCATGTGGCCGTTCCTGTCCGGAGCCTTGGAGGGGCTGATCTCCTATTCTTGGGGCTGATCAGCCCCACCAGCCCCGGGGCTCTTCCTGGTTCTGACTTGTTCTCGCCAATGACATTGGAGGAGCAAGAGCAGTGTTGCGGGTGCCGGGATTTCCAATGGCCGAAGCCGGCCGCCGAACCTCAAGTTTGAACCGAGTCAGGACAACCTCAGGAGCCTGGCGCTCCTGTATGCCTCTGTCTAGGGATGTTTCACTCACTGGTTATACTCTTTTCCTCATTACTCCCCCCTCTACACCATATACTTACAGTTCTCCTTTCTTCCACATTTATGTCTTTTCATTCGTTGTTTCGATTTTCAAGTTTGCTCCATTAACCATCAGTTGTTGGTTGCACTCGTACAGCTGAGGATACTAAGTTCCTATAATAATAGATATACCCGCGATAACGATACTTATATGTACACTTATAGATATCATAAGTGCCACTATAACTGCCTCTTGATTCTGGAAGTAAATCAACACCGCGTTTCAACACTAGACCTTGAATTGGCATCAGCGGGTATGCGCTGATTTAGTATACAACCCGTTACCTCCGGGCTAATATCTATGGGGCTTGTAGGTTTAGGAGGGTGGATAGTAAAGAATGTACTTCAATACATGCTTAGGTGCTTGAAATGAACTGGCAATACTGATTGGAAGCATTTCTTCGCGCCTTCATTCCTTCGGAATCCAGCCAGCAAGGTATGGTGTACCTCGGTACACACGGTACGATAAGATGCATATCCAGGTTTTAAAATAGAGAATTCTCGTCACTGATGGCCCATTCCGACATGGGGAATCGAACCCCACAGCATGAGTGGCGATAATGTTAGCCATTACACCATACCGGAATAACTATTCCATAAGCTTATGACTTGAGTTTGGCTCTTGGGTAGTGCGGGGGCGCTGTGCGTGGTCGTTCGGAATCTACCAAACTGTGTTTCCTTACATATATACCAATAGATTACCAAAAAAAAAGATACAGTTCCTTATATCGACCGGGACCCAACATGAAGTAGAATTAATCGAAGGATGTTTGCGTGTTTGTCACGGTTGAGTGCCCAGCATCGCAACACCGTTGAAAAAAAACATAGTTCGTACCGCTTGCCCGTTAGCCCTACCACGTCCCTACCGCTTCACGTCTTCGAACACCAAACCAACTGAAACTCGATGGGTCTCCGAAGACATACACTGCCCACAGGGACACACGTGAGAGATATACGGCCTTGAGTACTTTTTTGTGAGCCGGAGGTGCGGTTGCGGGTGTTGGTGTCAGCTCGGATGTGGGTTTGGGTTTCGTCATAGGCCGTGGGTTTCCTAGGAGGGTGAGGGCGAGAGGGTAAAGGTGGCCGCAGTCGGGATCGAAGTTTTCCCATTCGGCGTCTGACTGTGTTTGTGTCAGGTTGGGATTAGAATGGGAAGGTGGAGATGACTGGAAGGTGGAGGTCGTCATCTGATGAGGCGGGTTTGGGTGTGGGAGGGATCGGGAATCGGGATGGGGTAGAGGGCCTTGGGGGAAGATGAATGGAAAAGCGGAGAGGAAATGTCTAGGATGGTTAGTCCTGGAGGTACATCTTCTGGAGCAGTCTTGATTTGTTACGTCGACGAAGCGGCGGACGAGGTTTCCGTGTCTGAACGATCTGAACCGGCGGAGACACCACATCCAACAGCAAACGCAGCAAGCAACGAGAAAACGGCGTAACTCAGAGTTTTCATCCTCGTATCTGGATACCGGGAATTTTTTCAGCTCGATTTCGGTAGCAAGAGACGAAAGAGGAAAGAAATGCGCGTCTTTTACGCGTGAATTGAGTATCGTCGACAACACTTGGAATCAGCACCAGACCGACAGGTGCGGCAGTTGAAATTCTGAGGAAGATGTGGAACATGGATGGATGAATCCTCGGGCTAGCTGCTGGTTCATCCGACTCAGCATTCTTCGTGAATGAAATACTCCTCAGAGTCGATCTCCTGGTGGGTTTATGGAGTTTCAAGGCGGATTCGTCGTCACAGTCATGTGAAGGGAACGCGATTGGGGATGGAGGGGTCGCCGGAACTTGAGATAGGAGAAGGAGGCGCACGACGAGAGGATTACTCGGAATGAAGATAGCGTCGAGATTTGACAAGTTTGGTATTTTTTATTGCCAACTAATTGCGTTTTTTCGTTAGCTCAGAACAAAAGGATAAAAACAAAGAACATACCTGATGTACTGCGATGGTCTGTCAGGCCTCAGGCCTTCAGGAGTGAACTAGTCATCGGCGTCGTAGGCCCTCCTCGAACAGATTCCCATTTCGAAACCAACGTGGCGTGCTTCCGACTTATAGCTGCAGTTTCGGAGTTCCCATGGTGATGGCAAAAGGGCACATTCGAGCGCTAAATGAGAGTTTGCAGTTAACGCCCAAGCTGCCCTTTTGAACTTTCCCTTTTTCAGTCATTGGGATCAACTCTGCGCTTGATTTTTTCGTTCCACGTATGCAGATTCGAACAAATACACCCTTACCAATTACCCGAGCTCCTTAGTAAAGCTGAGTTCGCATCTTTCCTCTCCGACTCTGTACCAATATATCTCAACTGCCAAGTACTCTTGGATTGGGATGATATTACTCATGCGGTAGAAGGATTATTCATGTAGTAGAAAATTACTCATCTACTAGTACTAAGTCATTACAGGCTGCGCGGCTGCGAGTCGCAACTGAGCGCTCAGTTTCAGCTCTGGTTTCACTTCGTTCCTACCTTCCGATGACCACCCTTAACTCAAAGTTCCCAACTCTGGCCGAACAATTAGGCGTATCAATATATGATAACCTAATCTCTCTTATCCTCAATTCTGTTCTTTATGGTGAAGTCGTTGAATTTCTAGGACATACAGAACATATGGCTCATGCGATCATGTTACAGGCATCTTTATCGCGTTGGTATTAGTTTCTACCAGTGGTTTTCTTATTCCGTGAGTTTACTTCTTGATAATCTTGATTGAAACATCTAAGATAGAAGCAGGAAAACTACAGCCAATACCTCCGGTCATGCGTACATAATAATATTCTGTTGCATTTCCATTACAGTAGCAACCATGACTCTGAATGTCATTGTACCATTGGGCTCTCTGCTCAGTTATGTATCAGCAATGCCAGAACCATCCTCATCATATTTGATTTGGACTAGGATTGGATATCCGGTACCCTTATTGGTGATGATTATTGTTAGTGATTTTATTGTCTCATGGAGAGCTTGTGTTATGTGGCCTTTCTCGAGATATATCAAAGCTATCTTCATGATTTTTATGATGACAAACATCAGTGGGTATTTCTTTCTATGTGCAGCGACCCAATCATGATTCATTTGATTCTTCGTGGCTTAGTTTTTCAATGCCTTTGGGCATTATCATATATGTCTGCAAGAGTAGTTCAGGGTATTTTGGTCTTGGGGTTTAATAGTCACTGGCCCACCCTGCTGCTCTCAAATGCATTGGGGTTGATCACCAGTCTTGTCATCAATATCTTAGGTACACTTCTTATTGGTGTCAAAGCTTGGTGAGTATGAAAGATTGTTAGATCTGGCAGTATTTCAAACTGTTTTTTTCATCAGGTTGCATAGAAGAGACATGAGAGTACTGGGTTTCAGGCGCAAGCGGTTAACAAAATCACAACACGTGTTAATACTTTGGATAGAATGTGGACTTGGGCTTTGTGTCTTACAAGTAAGGAAGCTCTCATAAAATTTGTCCATTGAAAAAATCAACTTGGCATTCAGGTGGCTTACATGGCTATTCAACTTGCTAAAGCAGGCTTGCTGGCTTCTCCAGGTGGTGTTATTGGACCCAGTCAAGTTAATTCCTTGCGGAACAGGCTGGTGGCTGTGATTCCGTCACTTGTGGTGTGTTTATCTGTTCAATAATTGGTGGTTGCACGATTCTAATGATAGTTTAGGGGCTGTATTTAATTATTGTATCTCTCATAGTCAAGTTGAAATTGTCTGCCATGGTTGGTGAGGAGATGTCTTTGCAAACAATCACACTCAGCTACAATGGCAGGGCTACATAAATTAGGAAATGTAATAAAGGAAATGTAATAATTGACTTATATATAAGTATGCTACAGTGGTATCTTGCACATTCTTTCCTGCTTCAAGTTCTCAGTAATGTCGAAAAAACTGAAGACACCATTTTTTCCCTGGTCTCAATTTATGTGTTTATCAAAGTAGGTTAGTTTCTCTGTTTTTCGAATGATATTACTTACGCTGGGTCCAACTAGAAACATTGATAATATATATAAAATCTGTGTTTTACGCTCCTGGGTCTGCAAGAGAGAAGTGGCACACTGGTGCGACTCAGATGCCTAGTGTGTAGCACGGACCCCGGCTGTTTCTCAATGCCGGCCAAGCACACACTGCAAGAATTTCCTGTTGTAGTTCGCCGAGCCGATGATGACATCATGTCAATCCGGCACTGATAATCCTCCGATGTAGCTTACTGATCGACTTACCAAGATACTTACTAATACTTACAGACCCGGTAGTTACCTCGTAGAGTACCCGTACTGTAGTATATAAGGCCTGGTACAAAGGCCAAGTAGTATATAGTGATATAGAGCACTCGTATACCCAATCTCCTGAGGGAGCCTCATGGCTCCGAGTCCCCACTGCGCCGGATACCTACGACAGGTTATGGGCCCCGGCCTTTGACTCTGATTGGTTGCTCTTATCTCTGTTGTCACTTGTTTGTATTATCAGGTTCTGTCATGGCTGAAGAAACCATTTGTTCCTGTATCGACTCTCTCGTTGGCTCTGCCGTACGGAATGGCTTGATTGATTATATGGAAACGGCATCAGCGGCATGCGTGATTCAATCAAGGCCCGAAGCAACCCATCGACTCTGTGGCAGCCCGTTGTCTGCACCATACCAGGATCGTATTAGTGTTACGGATCCTCCCTCCTGTTCCCATGTTTCCCAGCGCCACCAGTCTAGACCGCGCTGCTTCCATTCCGACTCTGATCACAAGTGTGGTCACCATTCCGATCTCGCCTACGACTTTGCACTTTAGGCCCGTGTTATGTTATCATTGCATGTGTTGCAATACGGGATCATGTCGTCGATCCCCACCGGTTTATTCATCTGGTATTGGTCTTACGGTTGAGAAAGTCGCTCCCGTAAATGTCGTTATTTGTTTGATGGTCGAGATGTGTTCTCCCATGCCTCCAGTCGAAGTTATGTACTCCTGGGTACGGCCTCATTATATTCTTGCAGTCGAAGTTGTGTACTCCTGCACGGCGCGCGGCGCCACCACTATTATGTCAGACTTACAGGTTGGAATTGGACATCCCCTGTGTTGGTCATTGCCCAGTCGAAGCTGTGTGCTCCTGAGGCAATCCGAGCTCACTCACGGTCCTATTGCCCAGTCGAAGTTGTGTACTCCTGGGGCAATCTTATCTCATTCATTCGCGGTCGTAGATGTGTTCTCCCGCATCAAGGGTTTATTTCGCCGGTCAAATTGTTGATGGCACAGAAGTTTATTTTGCTGGTCAAGTTGTTGATAGCACTCATGGTTCGTTACTAATGCTGGTCAAGTTGTTGATAGCATATATTCAGTTTGTAAGGTAATCTCTTATTTCATGGATATGTTCCACTCCGCCATGTGTTGGCATTTAATTTTGGTTTGCTTTCTATTTCTTTGCTCAAGTTTCTGCTGCAATCTTAGATCCCCATTCTGTCTGTTTTATCTCCTTTGATTCAAGTTGTTGTCTACCAATTGTTGATTTCCCCATCCCAGTTTATCTCACTGATTCTATTCTCTGTTGGACATTTGTTTCAGTTACTTATAGTTCCCCATTCTGTGTTACACCCTATCTCATTCCAGGGGGAGTTTATTTACTTATGTAGTTAGTGTTACAGTCTTGTTGCAGTCCCGGATTGAGGGGGAGTGTTGTAGTTCGCCGAGCCGATGATGACATCATGTCAATCCGGCACTGATAATCCTCCGATGTAGCTTACTGATCGACTTACCAAGATACTTACTAATACTTACAGACCCGGTAGTTACCTCGTAGAGTACCCGTACTGTAGTATATAAGGCCTGGTACAAAGGCCAAGTAGTATATAGTGATATAGAGCACTCGTATACCCAATCTCCTGAGGGAGCCTCACGGCTCCGAGTCCCCACTGCGCCAGATACCTACGACATTTCCACTCCAGCGTGACCGAAGTAGGCCGCAAAATACAGCCTTTCGTTGGCCTGTTGAAAAGATCATTTGATTAGAATTGCAAAAGAACATATTACTTCAGGTGATCTTGAAACCAATAATTGCTGTGTACTTCAGTCACATAAAATAGGACAGTAAAAAGTGGGACAATATAACTGTAATACTAGCTGAGGCCAAGGCTGAGGCTGTTCATTGAAATCTGACCATGATGCAAAGGAAGGAAGGAACAACCGATGCGGTCCCATTGAGGAAGAGCCGGGGCCCGCACAACATGCACTACACCACGTGGAATCACCCAGTAGCGGGTAGCCTTAAAAGATGCTCAAACGGCGCAGTTCAGCGCTTTGTTTCAAGCCACCTTTGTTCCTGCCTTTTGCAACATTTGTCAATCATGACCACTCTCAACTTGAATGGCGCAACTCTGGCCGAAGAGTTTGGCATACCGATATATGATAGCCTAATCTCGCTCATTCTTAGATCTGTCCTCTATGGTGAAATCATTAAATTCTAGGACACACAGAATATAGTATCGCTCAAGCAATGTTACAGGCATCTTTATCTCAGTGGCAATAGTTGCCGCGGCCAGTAACTTTCTTATTCGGTGAGCTTGCTTCTTGATAATCTGGTTTCGGAAACATGCTATAGTAGATGCAGGAATACCGCCTATGCTTCCAGTCATGGACACACAATATTAATTGGCTGCATTTCCATCACAGTAACCATGACTGTAAATGTCATCGCGCCGCTGGGATATCTGCTCAGTTATGTATCAATGATTCCAGAATTATACTCAACCTCGTATGTGATTTGGACCAAGATTGGATATCTACCCTTACCAGTGATGATTATTGTTGGTGATTTCCTTGTTTCGTGGAGAGCCCAGAATTATACTCAACCTCGTATGTGATTTGGACCAAGATTGGATATCTACCCTTACCAGTGATGATTATTGTTGGTGATTTCCTTGTTTCGTGGAGAGCCTGTATTATGTGGCCCAGTTCAAGATGTATCAAAGCTCTCATTACCGTACTTATGATGGCAAACATTGGTGTGTGTCTGCTACTTATACCAAGACTTATACTTACTCATTTGATTGTTCATGACTTACTAGGTTTTCAGTGCCTTTTCGCACTATCATATATGTCTACAAGCACCTTGTCTTTGAACTTTGATAGTCCTTGGTCCACCCTGCTGCTCTCAAACGTGCTGGGATTGACCATCAGTCTTGCCATCAATATCTTAAGTACGTCTCTTATCGGTGTCAAAGCTTGGTAAGTTTGATCTGGCACTGAGTCACTGACCCAGCACTTCAAACTGATACTCTGTCAGGATGTATAGAAGAGACTTGGAACTACTCAGGCAGAATAGATTAACAAAATCCCAACAAGTGTTAATGCTTTGGATAGAATCGGGAGTTGTGTTTTGTGTCTTACTGTTAGAGTTTTGGTGCAATATCCAACTGAGTTGGATATTGCACCAAAACTCTAACAAAACATCTGACTCTGAGAGTACTACCATGTAGTAGTATCTCAGATCCTATGTCCCTCGGATGTACTCGAGTAGCCGGTTATATGCTGAGTGGGCACCATCCCACTGGTCTACCTTGACCTGGTCAGGTTACTAATTACTGGCTCAGCGGCTCTTACAACCCGTAGGACTTGAACCCACGACCTCAAGGTAAACCCTCACTCAATCTATCTCAGAGTCAGATGTTTTGTTAGAGTTCTGGTGCAATATCCAACTCAGCCATATAACCGGTTTATATGGCTGAGTTGGATATTGCACCAAAACTCTAACACTTACAAGTAAGGAAGTTCTCATGAATATCAATAATATTATCAACTGATGATCAATCTTGATATTCAGGTGGTTTACATGGCTATTCAACTCGCTAAAGCAGATTTGTTGGGTGTTGTTAGTAATGTTGGACCTAGTCTGAATTCTTTACAAAACTGGCTGGCGGCTGTGATTCCATTACTTGTGGTGTGTTTATTGTTTGATTAAATTTAACAGTGGTTACCCTATTCTAATGGTGGTATAGGGGCTGTATTTGCAATCTATATCTCTCATAGTAAAGTTGAAATTGTCTGTTGTTGAAGAGATGTCCTTGCAAACAATCACACTCAATCACAACAGGTCTACATAAATTAGGAATTGTAATAGTTGACATGTGCTTGCTGTATTGGGTTGTTGCTCATCCTTTCTTGCTTCAAGGCCGCTTCAGCAGTGAAGCTCTAGCAAACGCTTGGCTATCTTACTGAAAGATCAGGACATGCGGAGTCATTGCGGACCTCTGAAACATTGTGCCATGCATCTTGTTACAGAAGTTCTTTCATAAACATCTTCTTTCGAGGAATCAAGTCATCTCTGTGCTCTCCCAGTCCTTGCCCAGTCCACTTATCTCGCCTCTATAATTTGCCGATACGGATTCAGCAATGTAAAGTCGGAATTCAGCCATGTACCCGTATCTCAGTACTCACATAGTATCTCACTGGAGTAAGTGCACATCCAACAACTTTTGGAAACAAAAACAAGCATGGTGCTAGTTGCAGCGTTTCTCAAAGTTCCGACATAGGGAATCGAACCCCAGGCTATCTGATCGCGCAATCAACAAACCAAGCAACCCCAAATGAGACATACCTTGTAGAGTTTGAGACTTGAATGGACACTGTCTAGCTAATTGGGTATGGATATATCATGGTTTAGAGTCACCAAGAGAGGTAAGAGTGAGGGTGGCATATGGGATAACAGACTCGGAGTGAGCAGTAAGATCTCAGACTGCACTTCAATAAACACCAAGATACACGCTTAGATGCTAGAAGTTGAACAGTAGCTTTTTTTTAATTCCTTTGAAATCCAGCCAGCAAGGTATATAATATACATGGGGTAGCTTTCGGTATTCACGATACCGAAAGTACATATCCAACTTTTGAAAACAAAAAACTTGGATTGCCCTTAGCATAGGTATTCAGACACGGGGAATTTAACCCCGGGCTATCGCGTGAATCATATTGAACTCATGAATGAGAGGCGATAATGTTAGCCACTACACCATATCGGAATACTTAGTTCCCAAGTTTATGACTCAAATCACGATCTATCTCAGCTGGGCTTTCACCTCATTATGTCTCGCATTTCATTATGTCTAGCTATAACTTTATTGGAAGGGGTACTTGTTACATAAAGCAAAAAACAAGTACTCTTTCGACTCAGTTCCGACACAAGGAATTGAACCCCGAGCTATCGCGTCACGGCTTAGCCTTTACCGTATGAGAGGGGATAATGTTAGCCACTACACCATATCGGAGTACTCATTCCCCAAATTTATGATAATTTACGGAGCAAGCTTCAATACATGCATAGATGCTTGAAGTTGAACAGTAGTAATTGGGGGCATTTTTTTCCTTCGGAATCCAGCCAGCGATGTACGGTGTACCTCGGTATATGCCTATGGTCGAAGAAGTATTACTAGGTAGCCAACTTTTGAAAAGTAAAACAAAACACACTTCACAATATATACTAATAGTTCCGACACGGGCTATCGCGTGCTAAACTGCAAACGTTACATGAGAGGGCGATAATGTTAGCCACTACACCATATCGGAATAGTTATTCCCCAAGTTTATGGCTGAAATTACGATCCAACCGGGCTTTCACTTCATTAGTGTAGCTATAACTTTATTGGAAGGGGTACTTGTACACGGGTTATCGAAAGCGTTTGTTTTTACTTACATATATACGAATAGATTATCAAAAAAAGAAATACATGCCCTTCGTCGACTGGGACCCCAGCATAAAGCAAAAAAGAATCGAAGAACGTTTGCGTGTTTGTTGTCACCGTTGGGTGTCTGGGTGTCCAGCATCGCGACACCGTTGAGAAAAACGGTTCGTATCCCTTGTCCGTTTGGCTTACCGCTTCTCTATCACACCGCTTCCCTACTGCGCCCCTAACACTTACTTCACCACTTCACGCCTTCAACCACCATACCAAGTGAAACCCAATAGATCTGCGAAGACGTACACTGCCCACAGGGACGCGTATGAATACGTGAGAGATATACGGGCCTTCAATATCAACCTCGTCCTCCGTTCCCGTATTATGCCTCTTTTTGTGAGGTGTGGGTGTCGCTTTCGGTGTCGATTTGGGTTTCGCTGTAGGCCGTGGTTTTCCTAGGAGGGAGAGGGCGAGAGGGTACGGGTACAGATGGTCGCAGTCGGGATCGAAGGTTTCTGACTCGGTGTCTGCGTCAGAGTTGGACTCGGAAGGTGAAGATGGAGAGGGAGAGTCGATGTCGTCGTCGGATGGGACGGGTTTGGGTGTGGGAGGGATTGAGATTCGGGATGGCGTGTGAGGAATTGTGAATCGGGTTGGAGTGGAAGGAGTAGAAGGAGTGGGGAGAGTGGTAGATGGAGTAGAGGGAGCGGGAAGAGTAGGGGTAGTGGGAGTTAAGGGAAGAGGAATGGAAAGAGCGGGATCTGTTACATCTGTGACGGTTAGTCCTGGTGGCACATCCTCTAGAGCAGTCTCGGTTTGCTGCGTCGGTGTGTCTGGACCATCGGAAACACCACGTCCAACGGCTGACGCAACAAGCGACAATGGAACAGCGTAGCTGAGAGTCCTCTTCCTCGAATCCGAGTCCCGTAAATTTTTAGAGCTCGATTTCGGTAACAAGAGACGAAAAGAAGGAAGAGATACTCGTCTTTTACGCGTAGACTGAGCATCGTCGACATTCAGTGAAATCGGTGCCGGATCGAGAGGCGCCGCTGTCTGCAGAGATTCACCAGACGACGAGGATTGAGATAGCTCAGAGGATTGAGAAGACTGCGAAGAATGCGAAGCAGAGGACGAAAAACGAAGATGTGGAATGTGGATGGATGACAAGTGTGACGATCCTTTCTTCGATGGGCTCGCTGCTGGGCTAGTATCCGACTCGGATCCGTGTCTCTTGAACGAAATACTCCTGAGTCCTCTGATGGAGTTTCGTTTGACAATCTTTAGCAGACTGGGTTTACGGAGTTTCAAGGCAGACTCGTCGTCACGGTCATGTGAAGGGAACGCGATTGGGTTGGAGGAAGAGATGGAAAGATCGCCAGAGCTTGCAGTAGGAGAAGGAGACGCACGACGAGCGGATTCGTCGGAAGGAAGAGAGTGGCGCGGTTTTACAAGTTTGGTCATTTTTTATTGGCCAACTAGTGGCGTTTTTCGTTAGTAGCTTGAAAGAAAAAGAATGAAAAGGATAAACATACCTTGGTTGTTGGGGACGCAGGAGAAATTAGAAAGACTTTATAGTGATAGCGAAGGTCTGCAACGCGGCAACGTCGAGGTTACCTCGTTGCTTTTATACCTGCCGTTTTAATTTACGTTACTGCCAATTTCGGTTATTTAATATACGGCGCCTTGGCACAAAATGATACCGGCACTGTACAAACCCGAAACAAAAACACAGAATCGCAACCACAACTCTCCGCCATTCCACCTTTCAACCACAAGACACCCGAAGCGTAGCCCGAGGACAAAAGTCGGCGCTCTTTTCGGACAGCACAGCATGCCACCAACACTGATCATCAAATGTTTAACACTTTTTATATTCCGATATGGTGTAGTGGCTAACATTATCGCCTCTCATGTGGCCAACCTCCAGGAGCTTCGCGATAGCCCGGGGTTCGATTCCCCGTGTCGGAATAGGAGCTATTCCCCCCATCATTTTTGCAAAATGCTCTCAGTGTCGTTCTATCTAAAGATTCCCGATGTTTTCCAAGACGACAGTCATGCATGCTCGCAGTCTACCGTCAATTTCAAAGTGACGGGTCCGAATTATAAATGCGGAATTAATGTGGTTTGTCTCGCTCTCATACAAGTAAATTGCTAGTACGTAGTGGTTGGATCGAAGATCTCTCTCCTTCAAAGCCTTTACCAATGTATAACACCAGTATGTAACTGTTCCGATATGGTGCAGGTGATAATGCTGTCACCTTTTGTAGGGACCGCCAGCAAGCCTACACAGGTTCAATCCCTTGTCGGAACTTGAGTCGGCTGTTTAACAGACATATTCAAGACATGTTCGGTTTTTTTCACTTGTGCGTTGATGATTTTGCTTTACTGTCTTATTCGCTACATCTACATAACCATCTGCTAGGCGATTCAAGAAACTTGAAAAAAGTGAGAACGAGTACTTACATATAGGTTACAACAACTCAAAAGCAGATCAATTACTACTCCATCCTCCTTTCCCTCTAATCCACAAGCTCCCCATACTCCCATCACCACTCATCCACTCTAAAACTCTAAAATATCTTCAAATACTCCTCCAACACCTCCTCCTTTCTTTTGTCCACCCCCGCCACCCCATATTCCACCAACTTGAACATCAACACAATTCTTTGTCTTGCCCGATCGTCATTTGCTAGTATGTATTGTGTGAGCCTATCCGAGGAGCCTTTACCAATGTAATCTCATACCAATAACTGTTCCGGTATGGTACAGGTGATAATACTTACCATCGCCTTGCGTAGGCATCGCTAGGAAGCCTTCACAGGTTCGATTCCTTGTGCGGAACATAGCGTTTAAGAAAACCATGTAATTTTTCTTATTTTTTTTCCTCCATGCCAACGACAGAAATCCACATCTAAGCCTCTGGGCCATTCTTTTGTTAATTCAAGAAACAGGTGGGAATAAATACCAAGGACATAATCTGAGATCAATTATTCATTCCTCTCTCTCCTTTCAAAAACATCTTCAGATACCCAACACCCCCTCCTTTCTTGTGCACCCCTGCTACCCCATAGTCCACTAACTCGAGCATCAACAGTGACAATTCTTTGTGTGACTCTAGAGCCTTTACCAATGTATGATACTAGTAAATAATTGTTCCGATATGGCACAGGTGATATTGCTGTCACCTTTCATAGGCAGCGCTAAGATGCCTACACAGGTTCGATTCCTGGTGTCGGAAGTCAAACATGGCTACTATACACCGACAGGAGGAATCTGGGCCATTCTTTTGTTAATTACAAGAAACAAGTGGGGAATAAATACTAACGGCCCTTAAGTACTTAGTCTGAGATCAATTGTTCATTCCTCCTTTCTCTAGTAAATATTTACTATCACCGCTCATCCTCTCAAAAACATCTTCAGATACCCAACACCTCCTCTTGTGCACCCCTGCTACCCCATAGTCCACTAACTCGAGCATCAACAGTGACAATTCTTTGTCTTGTACTCGTTATATTGCCACGGCCCACTAGTAGGTATTGTGTGGCTCCAGAGCCTTTACCAATGCATGATACTAGTAAATAATTGTTCCGATATGGCGCAGGTGATATTGCTGTCAACTTTCATAGGCAGCGCTAAGAATCAAGATGCCTACACAGGTTCGATTCCTGGTGTTGGAAGATGAACATAGCTACTTCAAGGGTAAAATCTTGTTTATGGTTTTCCTCTACACCGACGAAAGAAATCCGCAGGACCGCATCTGATTTGTGAATTCAAGAAAGAAGTGGGAATTATTCTTTTCAGGCTTTCACTCCGGCTTACCTCGCTTACCTTGTACCCATACCCCTCATCATCACTCATCCTCCCCCCTACCACCTTCTCCTTTCTTGCCCACTCCCGACACCCCATAGTTCACCCACTTCTCAACTTGAAGCATTAACACAATTCCAATCTCCTTCCACCGGCCCACTCCAAGGCCCACTCACAACTTATATGCAATTTCCATCAGCGCCTGAAATGCCAGTAAGCTAGAACACTTGAACATGTCCAGTGCGCGGTGCCAACCGAAAACAGGTTTCCCGTTCCTAAAATCAGTCCAGCCATAGGATCATCTTCTGTGGGATTAAGAAGAGAGAGTTGGATTTGGGGAAGAGATTCTGTAGGAAGTGAAGCAGGGAAAAATAGCAGAAGTTGGGATATCTGACGGTGCTGTAGGTGCGGCAGGTTTGGGTGTAAGAGGGATAATTGGGGGGTAAGGTAGGAGGAGCAAAAGGGGCGGTAGCGTGTTTTGTGGGGGTGGGGATGGAAACTTCAAGAGTCGGAATGTCTTTCATGGCAGTAAGCATAGGCTAATAGCAACAACACTAATAATCGAAAGACAATGACCCTATAATCCGATATGGTGTAGTGGCCAACATTATCGCCTTTCATTTATTGTCGTCGGATTGGACCCTTTGAGATTGTGCGATAGCCTGGGGTTCGATTCGGAACCACGTTCAAAAAGGAGAATTTCCTCGGTATTCTTTTTACAAAATGCTATTATTTCGCTCAATCAAAATATTCCTGATATTTTCCGAGACAAGAGTCATGCAACAGTCACTGTCACGGTCTACTGTAAATTCCAGAGTGACTGTTTTGAGTTATACATGCAAACCTGATAAGTATTAACATGGTTTGTCCCGCTCTCATTACTTGCAGTAATTACTAGTACATAGTGGTAAACCAGATGCCTCCAGTACTACCCAAGTTGCACAAGCCGGCTCCAAAGTTAACCTCGCGCGTGGGCCATCTACCCCAGCACAAAGTCAATCATTGCCGTGCTACATATATATAATGAAGTATCAAGTACCCTGCATTCATAAGTATTGCTCTTCCCGAGCTAAAAATGGCTCTTGATCTGGCTCTCCGCATTTCTTGTGAAGCTTGTTCGGTGCTATTTTCATTCCTGGACACTTCCCTCGGGTGCTTTTCCATGACTCCATGTCGGAGACAGTCTTGACAGGAGTGGTAATGATAGGAGTCTGAGTAGAATCTGCATTCAAAGTATGCATTGAAGAGTTGTATATCAATTCATCGAGTTTGGGGGTTTTGATCTTACTAGCCTCTCCGTCAATCTGAACGCTCTTGGAATTTTATACTGTCCGATTTTTTTTCTTTTCTTCCTTGGCCGACATCACTTGTCACACCTTGAGTGAATGCAGAAACACACCCTAATATTGATTTGATTTGTCTCTCCCTCAGGCAGCGTTTGGGCGTATTGAGTACTTGCAATTAAATTAGTAGTGTTGTGTGAAAGGCTCGAAAACTAAAGCCTTTACCAATGTTACAATACCTATAACTGTTTCTGTATGGTGCAGGTGGTAACAGTGTTGTTATTATCGATTTTCGTAGACATTTCCCGGCTGAGCATAGTCTACACAGGTTCGATTCCTTGTCAGAACTATGTGATATAACCCTTCCATCATGCTAATTTTTTTTCTTCTCCTCCTCCTTGTCGCTCGAATCCTTGTTATCATTACTTGTCATTCCACAAGTGAGTGCAGCAATACCCTGATATTAATTTGATTTGTCTCTCCCCCCAAGTACTACTTGCAAAATCGGTAGTAAGTGTTGTGGGGTGAATGTAATTTACCAACGTTACAATACCAATAACTGTTCCGGTATGGTGCAGGTGATAATATCGTTATTGTCGCTTCTTGTAGACATTGCCAGGCCGAGCAGAGTCTACATGGGTTCGATTCCTTGTCGGAACTATGTCCCAGAATTTATTGAACCCTAACTAATTTTTTTCTTCTCCTCCTCCCTTAGGCTTTTCCTACTGCATCACTTGTAATTCCGCAAGTGAATGCAGAAATGCCGGTACCCTAATGACAATTTGATTTCTCCCTCTAAGTATTAGTACTTACTTGCAAATCGGCAATTAGTATTGTGTGAAACCAAAGCCTTTACCAATTGTATGATACCAATAACTGTTCCGTTATGGCGCAGGTGATAATATTGTCACTCTTCATAGGCATTGCCAGGCTGAGCATAATCTACACTAAAGATGTCCACGAGTCCGAGTTATCCACAGGTACTCGCAGGTATGTCTACCTGCGGATCCCGGTACCTGTTTCCCACGGATCTGTACTGTTGGACTTCATCATCTATCATCTTCATTATACTTACTATGGAACAGTCTTCTCACTTCGTTACTATCTATGGAACATTCTCTCTCGCTGTAACTACTGGTATGTGAACTAGTTGTACTATCTTTATCCTGCCCACTCACCATTGCCTTATTATTGTGCTCTCGTCTATTCTTACTTACTTACCTTGTGCTCCATTCCACTCTCGTCTTATTACTCTCACTCTGTCTGTGAACGCTTCACGTGTTGTACTTATTATTAACTCGCTGGACTCGTATTTAAGCTTGTACGTACTTGTGGAATATCAAGTTGTGTTTTCTCTGTCTGTGTCTGTGTCTGGACCTTTGTCTCCTCTGTGTCTGTGTGACCAGAGCCTACTAACAGTGTTGTGCACACTGTCTGCCTTATCGATCTACCTCTAATAGGTTATGGGCCCCGAGCCTAACCATTGACGCCACCATACCAGACACCATTGTTGATGTCACAACAACCCAGCTCATCGAAACCATCCACACGAGCTTCAGCCACAACTCCACCAGTTGCCGCCACAAACCCAGAACTCCCTTGCGCCCTAAGACCACATCTTTGGGACTCAACAGAATATCAAGATTGCTACAGCGATCTACAGACAGCACAGTGGGAATTTTGCAATCGGAAAATCTGTCCGAACAGATACGACGTACCCAGTCCTACAAAGGATATACCAGAACAAGCTAAAAGAATTGAAAAATCACAGGAGAAAACAGCGGCACCTAAACCATCAGTACCAACATCGCCACCACAGCAGCCACCCCAGAAGATATCAAAGGCATCATCTCAAGCATCTCAGCGTGCAGCACAGCCGCAGCCACCACCGCCGCCGCCTCCGACATCACCAGCTCCAGAACCGATATCATTCGGTGCAACAGAATCAGATCACAGTACTCCTTTGATCCCAATAGCAGATTTACCTCATAGCTCACCACCATCTGACGGAGACAATCCAGGATCATCAGACGAAGAAGAATCAGACAGTGACTCATCTGATGACAAGATGTCCAAAGCACTGAAAGCATTTGACAAGGTCACCACCCTTAAACCGGATGGATCGAACTGGGACACATGGAAAAGCCGAGTAGAATTAGCTGCAAAGTCCATAAATTATGGCCAGTACCTCACATGGAATCCCCATGAAGCAACAGACACACGAGAAGCCAGCAATACAGGAGATAAATCATCTGATACAGATTTGCTAAATGCTTTAATTGGCAGATTATCGGATGGCATTTTCCGAAGGTATAGAAATTATACCAACACTCGTGATGTGTGGACAAATTTAATCGCTGATTTTGACTCCAAAAATGCGCTCACGGAATCACACCTACAGAGACAGCTTCACACCATGCGTTTCTACGAGCCATCTAGGGTTAATGAACACCTAGACACTATGTTGGAAATCCGAGACAGTCTTGAAACCCGCGGCATCAAATTTAGCGATGAAATGTTCATATCCTCTATCCCCAATCAATTCAGACCCACCATAAACGCACTTGTTGTAGTCACATCTCGAACTGACAAGAAACTGGCAACACAGGAATTGATTGCCACCATTCATGCAGAAGCACAGGGACATGTATGTAGTACTAGTCATCACAACAAGGGGAAGAAGGAATCGGCTAACTATGCGGGAAATTCCCGAGGTCGAGGATTTTCTCAGAGGGGATTTTCTAGGGGCCAAGGAAACTCGAAACCAAGCGGACCTAACAGGTCTACTTCCGCATGTTTTAATTGTGGAGGGAAAGGACATTTTGCGAGCACATGTCCATTGCCTAAACGGCCACAGGCTAATCAAGCCAAAGAGAGTAGGGAAACTCACGAGCCAAAAGAGGGGAAGAAATCAGATGGAAACTGGAGATCTAGGCCAAAGGGGAAGGAAACCGCATCTTCATCACAGATTGAAGAAGTCCAGAATCATCTTGGGCAGCTATTGAGTTGTCATTGGACACCAGCTTCGTTTTTCCTCCCGCCAAATCCTACGCCAAGCTTGGAAACTCGACGGCATCTTTCCAGATGTCCCCAAATACAGCAGAAACATATCTCACATTTGATTTCAATGATATTGCTGATGAACATG